GCATTTGATGCTATTGAAAATTCTCCAGAAGGCGACGCAATCACGGTGTATCTGGATTATTTGGCAAGAACGTATATCACCAGTTCATCAAAGTAAAGTTCCCACCCTGTCTTTGGGCTGGCATTGACAGTGAGGAAAAGCGCACGACGAATGGCTGTGAAGCATTTCATAAACACATCAACAGTCTGTTCTATATAGTATGCTTCTCATCCATGTATTTTTGATTTGTTTGAAAAGCTGGTAGAAATCATGCTAGACAGCACTTTCAAGCTCCACTCAAATGAAAATCCAAGAAAACTGACTACACAAGAAAAGAGAAAGTAAACTCCAGTATTCAACAGGAAAAATCAGTCGACATCACTTCATCGAAGCCATGGGGAAATTGTCTATACTTGTTACAAATTTTAAAGCTCTTTTTTACTTTTTACTTAAAATTTGTATCAATAAAATGCGCTACACAACATTTTTAATGCAGCCCACAGTCAGTATTGAGACAGTCCCCAGCCTGTAATGCAGAGGGAAAATGTTATACAACGCCGGAGTAAGGTGGTAGCTTGGAAGACGCGGGCCCGGGGACCCACTGAAACTCCAAAAACATAAATTCAACCTCAATCGCCTCACAACACGGGCCTTGGTGGCGTGTTGAATACCTAGGATTATCTTACTCGATTAACTCACTCATCTCATTGAGATGGGCACTACAAAAGTGTTTCATTTCTGAGGGTTTGCAAGTGTCAATAAGCGGCGTCCATTGAAGAAATAAAGGTTCGCAATTGTCAACTAAGCGAAACTTGAGGTTCACAAATGTCAATCAACCGCTGTTGTTGCTGTTGTTGTTGTCGTTGTTGTTGTTGTTGCTGTTGTTGTTGTTGTTGCTGTTGTTGTTGTTGTTGTTGTTGCTGTTGTTGTTGTTGTTGTTGTTGTTTTTGTAGTTGTATTTGCTCTATCAAAATCGTTAGAAGTCCCTGTTTCGTTATCAAGATATTCAAAGTTGTGCATTCGAAAAAAAACTTGACATGTTGTGAAACTCAAAACTGTTGACGTTAAATTTTTTCAGAACCAGGTACTGAGCAGATGTAGTATGAGAAAAATTTCGGGAACATAAAAACCACGTATGTTATAGAGTTTAAAAGTTTGTTGAGGTGCATTTGTTGGTTCAAGTGACATTCCTCTTCTTAAGATAGTAAACGATTTAAAAGAATCAAACACTTCGTATTAACATAATGTTCTGCCAAAAATCTGAAACAGTTTTTTGCATCCCTTGAAAACCTCGTATTTTGACAAACGACATTGATGAATGACAGCTTTGATGTATAACTTCTTTCTTCCTACATATTTTTCAACCCTGCTTTCTTTATCTGGAACTCTAAATATTTTTCAATTTTATGTTCTTTATCCGACGTTCGAACCTCACCTCGGCCCGAGCTTTTGTCCTTGCAGTAGGAACTTAACATGAACTTCCCATTGGCTCCGTCCTTTCGGAAATTGACGTTAAACTCGGAGGTTCCGCCTCTTAAATAACCTAATAGTGTTGATAGGGGCGTTAAACATACCATTTCACCATTTTTTTTCACAATTTCTTAATTCGCAACTGAGAGGTAACAGAATGAAAATAAAAGTGACGTGGAATTATATAAATGCACATTTTTGTATTTCTGGTATGATGGTTTGAAATGTGTCACAGTTTTCCTTCTCGTCTACTATTGATCAGAAATAATATGTGTCCTCTACGTCTTTAAGGAGTTAATAACGGGTGATTGGCGGGTGTTCTCGTGCGGTTTGCTCCTCCTTTCCTATCAAACAAAAAACAATCCTGATCACTCCTTCTTTTTTGTGTGTTTGTTTCTCTCTTGTAACACTTCTAATCTTCGGCACTCATAATATTATGACCTTATTGTGTTATAAATGCCGTAAAACATTAATTACATAAAAAAACAAAGAGTTACTAATATCTTTACCTACAAGTTTGTGAGGGTTTGGTAAGTAAGGAGCAGATCCGATTGACACAGATGCCTTCATTGAGATCGTGTCCTTTTCAAGTACTCTATGGTTATACTTTGTATACTTTGTTGACACAATTTCCTCTGAAAACTCCAAATTTTAGATGTTCATGGCGAAGGCCGCTCCTATTGTATTTCTACATTTTATTTACACAGAAAATGCATTCATTGCCGTCGATCTCCATATGCTGTCGATATTCAACTTTTAAATAGATCTACTTAAAATGTAAAATTAAATAATATTAAATTCTCGGCTAAAATTGACCTAATTAGCCATAGCAAAAACCACAAATCATCTTCTTAATATTAGCTCCTGTTTCTTCTATTTCTCTTTGGCAAATCTTCTCCACTACAGAACTGGTCTAACTGGCCACAGCAGGAGGCAAAAATATTCTTAATATTATAGGCCCTATTTCTTCTATTTCTCTGTACGAAATATTCTCCTCTGCAGATGCATAGCATGGTCACCAATCAGACATCTATAAATGTACACACTGATATTGTAATGTCCAGACACTGAACTGTATGTGATGCAGGTCAGCAACTACTACCATCATCCCTAACGCTACCGGCCCCTCCACCAAAACCCCAACCCCAGATTTCTCACCCCGATTTCCCATCCAATTCCCCACTACAGAGGAGCAAAACTAAGCATAGTATGTGTCACGACGCGGTGGACTCAAGTGCTCATCAATTTTTGGGCATTTGGGTTGTATTGGTATTCTGTTAAAGCTTGTTCATTTGTCTATCTTTCGATGGAAAAAATCACCCTCAAAACAAATTTTAAAAACAAAACAAAACAAAACAACCCCCCCACCCCCCCCCCCCCCCCACCCCGATGTATCTTGAACAGAAATCAAGATATTTGCGTTTGAAAGAGGTGGTAATCGCCTGGTTCGGGGGTAAGATTAGCGAGAAAATAGTGACTTCCATAGCCTGAGAGTCGTTGAAAATCTACATGTTTGTGCCTTTAACCAACATTTCGACATTTTTCAGTAAAATACAAACAGAAATGCGTTGGGTTTTTTTCATGGACACAAACAGTGTAGAGCCAAACAACAGAAATCCGATAAAATTGCGAAACCGGCAAAAAATGCCGATATTTTCGATTTCTATACTTTGACGAGCGCCTGATTTCGCCACGATGCCTCACTTCCGAACCAGGTGATCAGCTGAGAATAACATCACTAACCAGAACGGTCACCATGGCCTAAAGCGCAACAAGCTATTGATAAACATCTCACGTTGAGAACGAACAAAGCCTCAGGGCAGGGTATTGTGAAGGGGAGTATTTCCCGGTAACTCCCGTCTTTTCTTTCACCCATCTGCTTTGTGTGATATTGCTAGATACGACATCCCCCGTCCTCACCCCCACCAGAGGTGGGCAAAATCGGATAATCTAATAAGGATAACCGGATAACTCTCTATGAAACATTATCCAAATTTAGATTCTATAACTCTCTTTCCCAACCCGTTTGCCGAAGTGGGTGCATCCATTTGTTGAAATGGTTCTAATCCGTTAGTCGGAAGTGGTTTTAACTCGTTTGCCGAAGCGGTTCATAACGCATTTAATTGCCGACGAGGTGCACTAACATATTATCCGAATTTTGCAAAAGCGACTCATTGCCCAGCCCTACCCCCCCTCCCCCCCTCCCCCCCCTTTCTCATAACGTTCACTTTTTCAACTCTCTCTCTCTCTCTCTCTCTCTCTCTCTCTCTCTCTCTCTGACTCTCTCTCTCTCTCTCTCTCTCTCTCTGTGAGTGTGTGTGTGTGTGTGTGTGTGTGTGTGTGTGTGTGTGTGTGTGTGTGTGTGTGTGTGTGTGTGTGTGTGTGTGTGTGTGTGGAATAAGGGACATTGGTAGTCCCAAAAGATAGAACGACTTTACGTGTGCAAGCGATATTGTATTCTTAAAAAAAAAAATAATATGGGTATAAGTCTAGACGGTCATATAATCAGGCCACCTGCGCGCTACTGACCTAGATTCCTTGTGGGCTTACACACCCGTGTAGTAAGCCCACAACCTTGTAGATCATTAGTAGTGATAAGCCTACGCAGGGTGCGGCGGTCAGTTTGAATTGTTGTTTTCTCATGCTTTGACACTGGATTATTTCTGCCTAATGCAGTTTGCTTTTCAAGTCATCTGGATTATGTGAATATTTTCTACATCATTGTGTGTGTTGAGGAACAGAAGTGGTGACTAATTAATTAATTAATTAAGATTGACCAGCAGTCTTGAGATCGCAAATTTGAAGTGCTGTTTGGCTGCACTGTAGGCCTACTGTTCATTTTCAGATTCTTCATCGCCATCGTACTCAGTGAATGCCTGGATTCTTTTAGTTGAGGCCTAATGCAGGTTTTTTTTCAAAATCATCTGGATTGTGTGAATATCAAATATCTCTTCCATCAGTGTACGTGTTTAGATTAAACCTACAGTGAAGTTTTGACCGTGCACGTTTAATTCATATCTGTCTAAATCCATTCTAAAATCCATGTCTACACAGTGGAGGCCCCCCCCCCTTCTGATCCGCACTCTTCACTGACTTAGAGCCTCTCTATGCAAACAACCACTAAAAACGAACTCTCCATCCTATCCCTAGATCTGCTTTTAGATTTAGATTAGTTTGTAACACAAACAATAGACTAAAAGGACCATGTAGATATAAATCTATATATCTAGACTCTGAGCGTCTAGGGGCCCACCCTTGTTAGGTAGGGAAAAGTATACGGATCATAATTATGGGGGAGCTCCTTTGTGTTTTTCCCGACCTGCTTTGTTTAATATCTGCTGTTCTTTCACAGTGCTTACATGCTTCTCTTCTAGGCCTATTTATTGCTTTCATCATGTGTGGTTATGACTCTGTTGGACTGTGACTGACACCTTCAAAATAAACTGAAGGAATAAGAACAACAATGGGAAGAAAATGCTCAGTTGGTGGATGCAAAACTGGCTATGACAGTCAGAAAGGTGCAGAAAAAGTGACCTTGTATGGATTTCCTTCGGATGAAACAGAATGTCGGGCATGGACTGCTAGCTTACCAAACATTTTATCCTATGAAAAGGTGTCAAAACATATCAGTGTGTGCCCTCCATTTCCGTAAAACTCTAACTCAACTCAAGTCAACTTTCTGTCTTTCCATCGCTTTTGTCTGTCTAGAATAATTTTTTACATGTCCGTTAGTTTGAACACAAACACAGGGAAGCTAAACCATTGAGAGAGAGAGAGAGAGAGAGAGAGAGAGAGAGAGAGAGAGAGAGGGAGAGAGAGAGAGAGAGAGAGAGAGAGAGAGAGAGAGAGAGAGAGAGAGAGACCGCCTAGCCGTGGCCGTTGTAATCATTATTATCATTACGAAGGTCACTGCTTGCTGTGGGCCGAAGCCTGAGCGGCCGGTGTGTCAGCCCACAAGCAAGGTATGTAGTTCTTGGGCTGCGCTGCCTGATTTATGATCGCCTAGGTATAAGTAGATCTAGATGTCGAAACTGTGCATGCTTGCCGTACTAATCTCTGTTTTATCTCAGTGATATCTTGTGTTGCTGGCCTATGCTGTCATACAGAAAGTGATCATACTTTCTATGTGTTTGAACAATGAAAACATGGAACAGCAATGAACTACACGTATGTTTATTTTAGTAAAATTTTACGGCACTCGCAACTGCATAGGGTCATATGAGCGCAAAGGGGTGGATGTCAACCATAGATGTACACTATAGGTTTAAAAGGAGACAACTCTATGATTTCAACAGAGAAGTCCAAAGGGGGAATCAGGCCCACTCTGCTCACCTCTCCAGCCCCAACAGCACAAAATCTGCTTCGACTATCAAGGCCCCACAGAAATACATGTAGCAGTTCACAATAGAAAGACAAACACTCAAAAGAAGTAGAGAAAAATGACTATAGTAAGGATGAGAAAAGAAAAAGCAGCAGTTTCCCCCTATGTAGTTCCGGCACAGTATGGGCATGACATTGATAAATCAGTCCGTTTACAATTCTACTGTGCATTGGAACGTGCTAACATCCCCCCTTTGGGAATGGCCTAAAGACAACTTTCGCATTGCCCTTGTGTGTGTATGTGTGTGTGTGTGTGTGGGGGGGGGGGTTACATGTATGAGCTTTATCTCTTTGAGAACGCACACTCCTGTGTGAAGATGTTCTGTTGTGAAGCGTAACGTCATCATAAAACTATGATCTATTAGCTGCTCTGATGTTTTACCATTTTTGGGGGGTATTTTCTTCATTCTGACACTTTCAAAGACAGACAACAACTTGCTTGATATGCAGTTTTGTGATTTTCCTTTATGCACGATGGTTCATAATGTGCCGCAATATTGACATTGCTCTACTGCTGGTTGCACATGGTGTGTACGTTCTTCAAGGGTTAAAGTGTGAATGTGTGTGTGTGTCTGTGTGTGTGTACATGTGTTTGTTTGTGTACAAGTGTGTGTGTGTACATGTGCTTGTGTGTGTACATGTGTGTGTGTGTTTGTGTGTGTATGTCTGTGTAGGTGTGTGTGTGTGTGTGTGTGTGTGTGTGTGTGTGTGTGTGTGTGTGTGTGTGTGTGTGTGTGTGTGTGTGTGTGTGCCTGTGTGCGTTAGTGTCAATATGCACCACGATCTGGACAATAAAGGTGTATCTTATCTTTTCATAAGTGCGTCTTCAGACGAAGTCTTTTGATCACTTGTTAAAACGCACGAATTGGGTTTGTTTGTTGTCTACGGTGAAACCCCAAAATACCTGTAGTCTGACTCTCGCTCGGCAGTTTTATTCATAATTTAGAGTGGCAACATCTTTCTCCTAAAATCTAACACGTTCTTTTGGTTGTAACCCTTTCCCCGGCAACTGGGTGTAACGCACCCAGGGACCCTGTTTCGGTGTATCGATATCTTTAAGTACACATACAAGATATAATGAAAAGATTTTACGTAATCCTCAAAATAGTTAAAATATGTGCTCAGTCTCCAAAAGATTTTTCAAAACAAACTTTATCACTTATGATCATTTTTAAAAAAAATTCCCGGTCCCTGGCAACCTGGGTGTAACACACCTGTACAATTTATATATAGCGTAGAAAAATGTCTATTTTACTAGGGTAACAACCTTACTTGCTTAAAAATGTATACCATTCACGGGTTGAATACGAAGAATGGATAAAACTATAAGAAATATTGATTTTGGTGGCACTTAAAGGTACTATTTCAACAAGACTGGCATATATATCATACTGGCGCAGACACATACGAACGCGGATGTCTGATGGGGATCATATTATATCACATGTATGTACCACTAGTATAAAAAAAAAGATAATTCAGAAAGTAGAATAATCAAATATCATAGTCACAGTCTGTTAACAAGGTAGGCCTACATGTAGTACAGTCCCATGATTTAGACCAAACAGTTTTTGCAGGAAAGCACTGAATATTTCTTGTAATTAGTTTGCAGAGACTGCAGTCTGGCGCTGTCTTGTGATCTCTTTTGTTTATCAGGGCAGAAAGAACCTG